TGTGTGTGTGTGTGTGTGTGTGTGTGTGTGTGTGTGTGTGTGTGTGTTGCTGAGGGACCCGTGAGGAGCAGCCTGGGACCATGAGATCTTGTGACCCTGGCCCTTCCTTCTGATCTGTAGCATTTGATAGGACTGCGAAACTTCTTGATGGGCTGCGCCTCATGAGTGCTAGGCCAGGGGCTGCCCAGTTAATATAAAACCTCGTTTCTAGATGCTCTTCCCATTTAACAATGACTTGTTGTCCCCCCCGCCCCCCGGCCTCCCAGGAACTGGTGGACGAGCTCTACTCATTCCGAGATAGCTATTTTGAGACCCATAGTGTTGAAGATGCAGGACGGAAGCAACAGGATGTTCATGACCAGATGGAGAAGACCCTGCAGCAGATGGAGGAAGCACTGGGTAGGAGCTCCGAGGGCACCCAACCCCATGCCCTTCACTGAAGTGCGATAGAGCTGTACTCTTTCTCTTTGGGCTGCATGGGAATCTGTGTGCAGGTGCCGTCCACTGGAGCAGTGTGTCGTTGCGCACCTGTGTGGCATAGCACTCTTTCACTGTAAATGTTTGATTATATGGTATAAAAATAGATAGTTTTTGCAGTCTGATGGTGGCGTGCACCTTTAATCCCAGCACAGGGAGGCAGAGGCAGGCAGACTGTTCAAGGCCAGCCTGGTCTATAGAGTGAGTTCCAGGACAGCCAGAGCTATATAATGAGACCCTGTCTCAACAAACAAACAAACAAATAAACAAACAAAAACACACATACATATTTTTTTTTGCAATAATCTTAATACTCTTAATTGATTTTTCTGCCTCTTTTTTTTTTAAAATAGGGTCTCATTGTGTTGCCTGGCTGTTCTAGAGTTTGAATGTAGACCAGGGTGGCCTTGAAATCATCTTAAAATTTACTTCCTCTTTTGGGATTATGGATGCCTGGATGATCAGGTGTTCTTGAAGATCCTAATTAACAAGTGGCTGGTCTGATCCTGTGACCTGTCCTATGTAGTCCCCACTGTCTCTTAGCTAAGCTCAGGTCTAAAACCTTGTTTACTGAGGACTTTTAATTAACTGCTTCTGTTTCTCTAGGAAATTCTCTAGCTCTCTTTAAATTGCTTATCTGATCTTCATTTAACTTTGATAGGTCATGCATATCAAGAAATTTACCCATTTCTTTTAAGCTTTCCAGTTTGAAGGATTATAGATTTTTAAAGTATTTTCTTAGGATTCTCTGGATTGCCTTGGTATCTGTTGTGATGTCCCCTTTTCATCTATAATTTCATTAATTTGGATCTTTGTTTTCTGTCTTGTAATTAATTTGGCTAATGGTTTATCAATCTTTCAAAGAATTAACTAGTCTTAGTTTTTTTTTTTTTTTTTCTTTTTTTTGGTTTTTTTTTTTTTAGTTTTGTGTTTTTTGTGTTTTTTTTTTTTTTTTTTTTTTTTTTTTCAGTTTTTCTAGAGAGGTTTTCTCTGTGTGTTGTTTCGGCTGTTCCAGGACTCACTTTGTAGACTAGGTTTGCCCTGAGTGCTGGGATTAAAGACTGTTAAGATTCTAATATGAGAGATTTCCATTTTTTTAAATAGAGGCATTTAGTACTATGCACTTGCCTTTTATAACCACCTTCATTTATCCCCTAAGTTTGAGTATGTTGTGTTTTTATTTTCATTCAGTTCCTAAAAGTTTTTAATTTTCTCTTGACCCATTTTTTTTATTCAACCCATTCATTTATAGTGAGTTGTTCAGTATCTACAAGTTTGAAAACTTTTGTTGTTTTTATTGTTGTTGATATCCATCATTAATCTAAGTTGGTCAGATAGGATGCAAAGTGTTATTTCAGTTTTCTTATGTATATTGAAACTTGCTTTGTGTCTGAGTATATGGTTAATTTTGGAAAAAGTTCCATGAGGTGCTGAGGAGAAAGTATATTCTTTTCTGTTTGTACGGAATGTTCTGTAATTGTCTGCTAGGTCTGTTTGATTTATGACATTATTTAACTCCAGCATATTTCTGTTTAGTTTCTGTTGGGATGCCCTTTCAATTGGCAAGAGAAGTGTATTAAATTTACCCACTATCACTGTGTGTGGGTCACTGTACAGTTTTAGCTGTAGTTCTTTCATGAACTTGAGTGCCCTTATGTTTGGTGCATATATGTTTAAGATTGCAGTATCCTCCTGGTAGATTTTTCTCTTCATGAGTATATAGTGTATATAGTATATAGAGTACATGAGTATATAGTGTCTATTCCTATCTTCTGGTTTGTTTGTTTGAAGTCTTTTTTTTCTTTGTCAGATAATAAAATGGTTATGCCTGCTTGCGTTTTTGTATCTATTTGCATGGAATATATTTTTCTATCATTTTATCCTGAGGTGATGTCTATCCTTGATGTTAAGGCATGTTTCTGGGATGTAGGAGAAAGATGGATCCTGTTTTCTAATCTAATCTGTTAGTCTGTGTCTTTTTATGAGGGGATTGAAGTCATTGATATGAGAATGGGCAGTGTTTTTTGATTCCTGTTATTTTGTTGTTATGGTGTAGGTTTTTTTTCCTCCTCTTTTGATTTACTGTTCTGGATTATTTATTTCTTGTATGTTCTTAGGTGTAGTTAAAATTTAAAACCCTCTGTTTTCAGTAGAACTGGATTGGTAGATGGGTGCTACTTATATTTGGTTTTATTATGGAATGTTTTTCTTTCTTGCTATTGTGATTGATAGTTTTGCTGGGTATAGTAGCCCCCGACTGGCATCTCAGGTCTTTTAGAGTTTGTAGAACATCCTTCTAGGTCCATCTGGCTTTTAGAGACTCCATTGAGAAGTCAGGTTTTATTCTACCGGGCCTGCCTTTGTAGTATTATATTATATTGGTCTTTTTCCTTTATGGCTCTTTTTTAATTTTTTTAATATTAGTTACAGTTTATTAACTTTGTATCCAAGCTTATGGCTCTTGATATCCTTTTTTTATTCTGTGTTTTGGTTTTATGTGATGTGGGGAATTTCTTTTCTGGTCCAGTTTATTTGCTGTTCTCTGTGTTGCTTGTATCTTGATAGGCACTTCCTTTAAGTTGGAGAAAAAAAAATTTTTTTTGTATGATTTTGTTGAAAATATTTTCTGTGCCAGATAAAATATTATCCGGGGTTTTTTTTTTTTTTTCTTCCTCTCTTACTATGATTTGTAGATTTGGTCTTTTTATAGTGTTCCAGATTTCCTGGATGTTTTGTGCCTGGATTTGTTTTATATTTAATATTTTCTTTGACTGCAATATCCATTTCTTCTACCTTGGCTTTAATTCTTGAGCTTCCATTTCTTGCATTCTGTTGGTAAAACTTACCTCTGAGGTTTTTGTTTGACTTCCTAAGTTTTTTTATTTCTCATTATTTTTCAGTGTGAGGGTTTTTTTTTGTTTTTGTTTTGTTTTCTGTTTTTTGGTGAGTCTTTCTTTGTTAAATTCTACTTTCATGTCATGATTTTTTTCATTATTTCATTCCACTGTTTGTGTTTTGATAGCCTTTATTAAGAGATTGATTCATCATATCTCCCCTAAGGTCCTTAAACATTTTCATGATTGCTGTTTTGAAGTCTTTGTCTTGTGTTTCAGCTTTATTACGTTTCTCAGGGCATACTACAGCAGTGGTACTGGGTTTTGTTGGAGATACACTGTCTTGGCTGTTAATGTTTGTGTTTTCCAGTTGGTATCCAATCACCTGGGGTTAGGGTGATTGAGGTGTTTCTAGGTCTTGTCTTTGTTGGGTTGGTGTTCTATTCCTTAGTTCTTGTTGTTCTCTCTGGATCTTAGGAAAGTGTGGTTGCTGAGGTTTGCCTGGTAGAAAGTGCTTCTGCAGGTCAGTGGGTTGCAAGAATAATAGAAGTGGACTTGGAGAAAAGACGGTAAAATCTAAGGGAGAGAGCCGGGGGGTCGGGGGGGAACAGGTTCACACCAAGAGTCTGTCCCCAGGGCATTGGAAGTAAGCTAGGAGGAGCAGCTCCTATAAGTAGGTTGCAGTAAGAGTAAGGCAGGAAGTATGACTGGAGGGACAGGGATGAAATGGGGAACCCTGGCTCTTTACACCGAGGAATCTCCAGTGAATGGAGTCAGAGGCGGAACACCTGCAAGCAGGTTGCTGCAGGGCTGAGTCTGAGGCAGGAGGATAGTGAAAATCTACCAGGTTCTAGCCAGGTGTGGCCACTGGGGGTTTGTAGGTCTTGTTGGCTGACACAAAGGAACGTAGAAGAGCAGGATGGGAAGGCCGAGAGGATGCGCAGGAAGGAGCAAAGCTGGGTCAGCACCAAGCTTAGGTGGAGTCTCCACCACTTACTTATTGAAGGGAAAATTCCCTGGTCTTTCACTCCTTGATCTTTACCCCTTCTTCCTAGGTTCTGTCCAGGTCGAGGCACAGGCACTAATGCTGAAGGGGAAGGCTCTGAATGTGACTCCCAACCACAGCCCCGAGGCCGAGGTGCTTCTCTCAAAGGCCGTGAAGCTGGAGCCTGAGCTGGTGGAAGCCTGGAACCAGCTGGGTGAGGTGTACTGGAAGAAAGGGGACATTGCGGCTGCCCACACCTGCTTCTCAGGAGCCCTCACCCACGTGAGCTGCCCATTCCCCCACATAGTTGGGAAGTAATGGAGTCCTTCGCTTCTTTTTAGGACAAGAATACCAGATCAGAATTGAGTGAACGAGGAGAATAGAATCAGAAGGGAGGAAGGGTGGAGAGCAGGCCTGGGTGAGCACTGGATAGGGGACAGAAGACTGAGAAAGGAAAATGGACGGGATTAGGTTTGGCTCAGGTGGGAAGAAGATAGCATTCAGAGTAATCCATGAGCTTCGAAGGTGCAATTGGTGGATAGAATTAAGACAAAAAAAAAAAAAAAGTGGAATTAGGAGAAAACTGAGGGGAATCTGAAGGGGGAACTAGAATCACAGAGGTTGAGTTGTGTATCTTTCCCGTCTGCAGTGCAAGAACAAAGTGTCCTTGCAGAACTTGTCAATGGTGCTTCGCCAGTTGCAGACTGACTCTGGAGATGAACATTCTCGTCACGTCATGGACAGTGTCCGGCAGGCTAAGTTGGCTGTGCAGATGGATGTCCTCGATGGCCGATCCTGGTGTGAGTGTTAAGAAAAGATGACCAGGCTTGTATAGTAGTGGTCCTCAGCCATGGCTAGACTCGAAGCATCTGGAGTCCAGCTGTGGTGTCTGACTTAGAGGCCATCTTTGTTTAAAACAAGCACTAAACTTTTTTTTTAAGTGAGTGAGTGTGTGTGTGTTGTGTGCATGTGTGAATGGCCATGCACATGTGGAGACCAGAAGACATTGTTACATCCCTAAATGTTTGCTGGATGCTTGGCCTATTACATGGGACACAAACTCTGGTCCTTGTGATTTTGCAGCAGGCACTCTTAACCACCGAGGTGTCTCTTCAGCCCCTCTAAACTTATTTTCATTTCTTGGATCTTGGGGGGTGTGTGTCCTTGTTTGCCTTCTACTGTGATAAACGTGGGTGACTGATCGACATGGCAACTGGAGGAGGAAAGGGTTTATTTCAGTTTACAGCTTTTTGTCCACTGTGATGGGAAGTCAGGCAGAAACTCAAGGCAGGAACCTGGAGATAGGAATTGAAGCAGATGTCCTGGGGAAGTGCTGCTTTCTTGTTAGCTTCCTGGGCTCATGGTCAGCCTGCTTTTTTGGAAAGCTCAGGACCGCCTGTCCAGGTGTGGCGCTGACCACAGTAGGTCGGGCCCTCCCACATTAGTCATTAATCAAGAAAATGCCCCACAGACGTGCCTACAGTCCAAGTTGATGGAAGCATCTTCTTATCAATTGATTTTCTCTCTTCTCAGACAGCTCCAGTCTGTGTCAAGTTGACACCCCCTTATCACCCCCCCAAAAAAATCAGCATAAAGAACACCCCAAACTAAGTCTAGCACATAGGGCTGTGGTCAGACCTGTTCATCCTTCTTCTTGGGTGTCCATGTTGAGCTGTTTATCTCAGAGTTTTAACTAATCAGTGCAGCGTAATATCTGGCTTGAGTAGACAGGCCGCACCTTTCAGAAAAAGACTTCTGAATCCCTGCACTCAGGGGGTAGGCAGGTGGATCTTTATTAGATTGAGGCCAACCAGGGCTAGATTGGTGAGACCCTTTCTTGGGAGGGGCGGGGAGGAAAGGGCTAGAGAGATGGCTCTGTGGTTAAGAGCACTGGCTGTTCTTCCAGAGGATCCAGGTTCAATTCCAAGCACCCACATGAAAACTCACAACTGTCTCTAACTGGAGTTTCATCGGCTCTGGTGCCCTCTTCTGACCTCCACACGCATTGCATGGTGTGATGCAGGCAAAACACTCATATACATAAAATGAAATAAATCTTTTTTTCTTTTAAAGAAACTTCGGAAGCACAAGACCTGCATAAAACTGCTCTCCCCTCCCCCACCTCTGTAGCAGGGCTTATAAAACCTCACCCCTTCCTGACGTTGTATAGGCAGTTAATGGTTGTTGGGAGAGGAAGAGACATTTGGTAAGGTGCCCATGCTACTGGTAATAGCCACATCGATTCTCTCCTAAGCAACCCCAATGAAACCCACTGGGTTAAAATAAACAGAGATGAAAGGAGAAGACGTGTTGATTGGGAAGAGGGGGCTAGCGGATATGGAAGGGGGACAATGGAAGGTGTAAATACAATCAAAATACATTTTATGCGTGTATGAAAATGTCATAGTGAAACTATTATTATATACAGTTACATATGCTAATAAAAGCTTTAAACGAGAGCTGCTGGTCGTACCTTGGCCTGGGCTCTGAGATGGCCCCACTGCTGTTGCTCTTGCAGATATCCTGGGGAATGCATATCTTTCTCTTTATTTCAATACTGGCCAGAACCCTAAGATCTCCCAGCAAGCCCTCAGTGCCTATGCTCAAGCAGTAAGTACTTGCGATTACCCAGGGCGGATGTGGAGACGACAGCAACAGGATCAGGAACGTTTGTCCTTCCAGTGCTCCTTTAGCAAGCAGTGCTCGCACAGATTGCCAGCATCTCACAGGCTTGCAGAGGTGGCCTGTTTTGTAAGATGTAGGGATGGGGTTTTGGTGACAGGTAACTCCTTCAGTTGTCTCAGTTTCTTATCGACATCATGGAGTCAATTTTAACATGCTCCCCTTTTTTTAGCAGGGCAAAAAAAAAAAAAAAAAAAAAAAACACCCTTTTTAAAAAAAAAAAAAAAAAAAAAAAAAAAAAAAAAATACCCTTAGTAAAATAATAAATAATTTTAAAGAAAGTGAAAGCTCTGAAAATTAAGTAGTGTTAAATTAAGTAGTTAATCCCAAATTGTGTATTTATCTTATAAATAAGGTCTCACTGTGAAACCCAAGGTAAATTGTGTGGCGTGGCTCTGGGTTGCCCACAGTGAGGCCTAATCTGCAGTTTCCAGGTTAGGAAACAGATTAGTGGAGCTCACACACCACTCTGTGTTCTCAGCCATGTTTATGTGAAGACACTTGCTTGGTGCTTGGGCGCCCTGAGGCTCTTAGTGACTTTTCTGAGCGGTTTTCACGTAGCCGTCACGTTCATCTCTAGTCTTTGCTTTCAGATTTCTTGGACATAGTGTAGTAGCTTGCTTCTCAACCTGCTGTGGCCCACTGTGCCTCCTGGCAGGGTAAGGAAGCAGCGAGTGTGGATGCATTTTTGTGGTTGACAGGCTGCCCAAAGGAGCTGTAGCTTATACCAAATTATGTACTTATTTATTTTATAAACAGGGTCTCCGAGCCCAGACTGGCCTCAAACTTGCGCTCTTCCCATCTCTGCCTCCTAAGAGCTGGTGTTATAGACCACGCCTGCCTTTTACTGCAGTTTTTAAATTTTGTGAATGTTTATATTTTAAAGAATGTACCTTCAAAAATCTGTACTTGTCTTCTGCTGCGTACTTGTTTTTAACTCTTAACTTCCTCTTCTGCATTTGAAAACATCTTTGAGACAGCTGTTTAAACAATCTTAATTCCTGTTGCTTATGCTGTGCCCAAGCAATGAACATAGGTAAAAACATCCACACTGCACAATCCCCAGCACATTTCTCCGCAGTGTCTCATAGCCTCTGTCCATCTGCTGTAGAGTCAGAATGTGACTCACTGTTTCTTTATAAAGGAGTTGACACAGAACCAAAGGCTTTGCAGAAGCCATGCTTATGGCAGAGGACTGTGTGCCATCATTTCTGCTTTAGGTTTTCCTTGTTTGTACCTTTGTCATGACTTCATTAAAAAAAAAATCAGAATGCTTTCATGTATTATTTTTTTATCTATTTTTGTCATGCTGTGTGGGTTTAATACAACTGTATTTTAAAGTCACACACATGCAATCAACAATATCTTCAGTGCTTCAGAGGCAGAGTGATGTACACTTAGTTACTGATCAGCAGTATGGGTATAGATAACATTTTGACAAGGAAGAACCTCAGATTTTTCTAGGGAGGTGAAATCTGGGGTATGTTGAGTTTGGGCATTCTTAAATTGAGTCAGGATCTATTTATCTTTTTACCCCATTACAGGAGAAGGTCGACAGGAAAGCATCTAGCAACCCTGACCTTCATCTCAACAGGGCGACGGTAAGACCCATCGTGGTTGGTGGTCATCTGATGGTAAAATGGAAAGGGTGTAGAGGGCCTGGAGAGGTGGCTGAGAGCCTAAAAGCACTTGCTGCTCTGGCCTGGACCTGAGTTTGGTTCCCAGCACCTGTGTGGCTGTAACTTCAGTTCTAGGGGACAGGATACCTCTTCTGACCTCTAAGTGCACTTATAAAATATAAATGTCTTAAAAAAAAAAAAAGACATCTAAGTCGTAGCTTTTGAGGATAACTGAGTTGTATAGGGACACAGTTGGATACAGACCACAAAAGGAAAGCCTGATTGTTTTTAGGAAGAGCTAGCTTCATTTGACCTCAGCTTAGAGGAAGGAAGGGAAGGAAGAGTCGGAGGAAATGGAGAGGACATAGAGAGTGAGGACATGGCTTTCAGAACTTCTCAAGTTTTAAGTATAAACAGAATAACATTTGGCAGCTTAACTGCTTCAGTTTGAGTTAACCTTCTTGGAAATGAGTTCGTCTTTGCATTGTCTTCACCTTGGCCCAGATGCTCAGCGGAAGAGAGGAACGTGACTGAGGGGAAATACAGTTTCTTCTAGATTTGTAGTCAGTTGTAGCATTGTAGCATTTCCTCTGTGTTTTTCTATACTGACAGTTTTGGTTACTTTTCCACAGTTGCATAAATATGAAGAGAATTACGGGGAGGCCTTACAGGGTTTCTCTCAGGCTGCAGCGCTCGACCCTGCGTGGCCAGAGCCCCGACAACGAGAACAGCAGCTCCTGGAATTCCTCAATAAACTAACCAGCCTCCTGGAGACCAAGGTAAAGCTGTGTCAGAAGCTGTCAATCAGATAAAAAAGAATAGGTTTACATGGGAGTAGGCGGGTGGGCAGGTTGAGACAAAGACTAGACGCAGTCAGTAGACCAGTTTCTAGCTGATCTGTTTCTCCTGCTTTTGCAGGGGAAGACAAAACCCAAGAAACTTCAGAGCATGCTGGGAAGCTTGCGCCCAGCCCATCTGGGCCCCTGTGGTGACGGGCGCTATCAGTCAGCCTCTGGGCAGAAGGTGACCCTGGAACACAAGCCTCTGAGTACGTTGCAGCCTGGTGTGAACAGCAGTACTGTGATCCTGGGAAAGGTGGTGTTCAGCCTAACCACAGAGGAGAAAGTCCCCTTGTAAGTCTCGCTTTCCCTCTCCCCCTGAGCAAATCCCTGCCACCTCCTGGCCTTCTCCTGGCCAGTAAAGGCATTCTGCAAATGACTTTTACCAGCTTATGGGACCTATTCTGTGTGCAAGCCTCCTCTAGGAGTTACCTAACAATCTCTTTAATCAACCAGTCAATCAATCAATTAATTATTTTCACAGTGGCACAGTTGTGTTTTGTTTATTTTATTTATGTGTGACAGCACATGTGTGCCACAGTCTTCATGGAGGTCCTAGAATGACCTGTGCGAGTTCTCCTCTTGCAGCATGTGGGTCCCAGGATCAGACATCATCGGTTGCCAGGCTTGGCAGCAAGGACCTATACCCCATGAGCCATCTTTCTGGCCTTTAACAGTCTTATGATAGAGGCGTTTATAGCTTCTGCCATTGTCTGTTGTTTTCCTGAGTTTGAGGCTCTGTGAATTCCTAAATTCATATCTGAAACTGGCAGGTAATTTCTAGAAGACAATGTATATGAGTGTCTGCCTGCTTGTGTGCTGTGTGTAAAGTTTAGAAGAAGGCATCAGGGTCCCTAGAGCTGGAGTTGTGGAGGGTTGTGAGCCAACATCTGGATGCTGGGAACTGAACCTGGGTCCTCTGCAAAAAAAACAAGTGCTCTTAATTGATACGAGTCCTCTCTCAAGCCCCCTGGATGGGTCATTTTTAGAATAAGACAGAGAAACTTTAAAGCTCTTCATCTTTGAGTGTTGAGGATCACAGAGTTAAAGACTGACAGATTTAGATTCTGTTTCTAGATAGTTCCGGAAGGTGAGCTTTGGGTTAGAATCGAGGCCTGGTTGGGATCTTACCTGGGTGTCTTGCTTTTTCTTTTTTTCCTTTTAATATACAAACAACTTGCTTTGGACTTATCGTTACTGTCATTTCTGTGTGGCAGAATAAAAATGGATGTGTATTTTCACATCTGTAGTTCAAGAATTGTCGTTTAAGACAGGAAACTTTTTGAGCAGAGGAATTGTATTTTGCCATTTATTTATTTGGGTTTTTGGCATATGTGTTAGAGGGAGTGGGAAAAAAATATAAAGGACCCATGTAAAACATGCTTGCGGTCCAGTGAAGGAGGGGTTGGATTTTTTACTTAGAAAAAAATGTAAAGTCATTTATTACTCATTTTACATGCAAGTGTGAGTGTGCGCATGCCATGGAACATGTGTGGAAGTCAAAGACAAATTTGGGGTGTTGCCTTCAATTCCCGTGTGTGTCCTGGTGCTGAACTCTTGTCAGCCTTAGTGGCAGGTACTGTACCCATTAAACTGTCTCCCAAGCCCAGAAAATGTTTAAATCTTGGAAACTCAGGATTTAGTGAGTCTATACCTGCTTGGTCTTCTACTCACTTCTTGGTTCCTGGGTGAGTTTTTTCTTTTCTTCCCAGTGGTTTGTTTATTTGAGTTAGCCTTAGCCTTGCTGTGACCCACTCCTGCCTTTGCCTTCCAGGTGCTGGGCCTTAAGTTTGTATTCTGTGTCACATGGACACTACTGTCTCCACTCTCCTGCCACATGGCTCTTTAGCATCCTCACTTACCTTTCTTCCTCCTTTCGAGTCAGGGTCTCACTGCAACTGTGGCTGGCCTGGAACTCACTATGTAGAGCAGGCTGGCCTTGAACTCACAGAGATCAACCTGCTTTTGCCTCTCAAGTGCTGGATGTTCAGCACTGTGCCAGGCCTCTTTTCTTTCTTAAATTAAAAACAGTTTCTTGGTTATTATCATGTGTGTACATGTGATCATGCATGTACATGTGCCATGACATGCATGTGGCAGTCAGGGGACTACTTTCTGGAGTTGGTACTTGTGTGACAGACTTTGTTTTTCCTTGCCAGACACAACATGCATGTCTGCTTAACACCAGAAAGCGAGCCCGGGGCAGACCAAAAGAACGGTTGTACCAAAGTCCAGTTTGGTGAACCAGTGAGGTTTTTTTTTCTAATTGCAATTACAAACAGGAGTATGGCTTAGGGGTTACTTCTGAGGAGCAGAGGTGACCCTAAAGCATCCTCATCGTGGGTGATGATGCCTGAAAACTGAAAAGAACAACCCGGGCACTCTGCGAAGCTATGCGCTTTGAGAACGGCTATCTTTCTGGGGTTTGTCTGGTCCACTCCTTAGCAGCTGTTTACTCCCTTTTACACTATTGGCAGTGGCCTTCAAGAACCTCCTGGACATGTGACACCCTGAGGCTGGTGTGCCTGCGCCTCCCTTCTGGAGCACATGTTTCAATAAGGAGGGAGTGCTGCGGTTGGGAGGTTCATGCCGAACAGCTGTTCTCTTGTCTCTGCCTCCTGAGTGCCAGGAATCAAAGGTGCAAGCTACCAGCCCTGGCATTTTTGAGACTGGCTCTTTTACTGAATCTGGAGCTCGTTTGCAGAGCAAGACTAGTAGGCCAGCAAGGCCCTTCGATCCTTCTAGCTTCCATTCTCCAGTGCTGGACCACAACCCCTCTACATGAATGGTCAGGATCTAGTTCAGCTCCTCAGGCTTGCACAGCGAGCTCTGTATCAACTGAGTTACCTTCTCTGTTTCCTGGTCCTGTTTGCAAATGTCTCTGTGTGTTTGTGTTTCTTCCTGTGCCTGTGTGTGAGTGCTGAGGTTGATGTCGGAAGTCTTCCTCCGTTGCTCTCTGCCATACTCATCAAGACAGTGTTTCTTAGTTGAGCACTGATCTCGCTGTAGCTAATCTGCTTAGTCAGCTTGTTTCTGGGCAGGAATTTCAGGTGGGCAGTGTAGCCCTCACATTCCTGTGGATTCTGAGGCTCTGAATTCTAGTCCTCATCTCTGTGCAGCAAGTGAGACACACTGAGCCCCACCCTCTTCTTTGAGAGTCTAGCTGGCCTTCAAGCAGGATCTGGCTGCTTCCCTAGCAAATCCTGGGCTCACATGCGCCCCCCACACTGGGTGTGGCGCTCCAGTTTTAACTGGCTGCTTTTCCCTATTGCCTTTTGGAATGGGGTTTTGCTGCGTAGTCCAGGTTGATTGTAAATTCTATGTATTTCAAGCTGGCCTTGAACTTGGGATCTTCTGACTGAGCTTTATGTGTGCTGGAGTTGTAGATATGTCCCAACAGTCAAACATCCTCTTGTGGAGCTACTCCCAGCCCAAGTGAGGTTGTCTTTATCTGACTTCTGCTAGGTTATGGGTCGGTTATAGCTGGATTATATTTTGTATCTTATTGCTAACAATGCTTGATATGTGGTAGTTAACCAAAGTGTGTGGAATCAACCTAAACTGACAGTGATGGTGGAGGGTTTGGCTAAGGGTGTGTTAAATTGATAGGCTAGGAATAATGGTCCAGCTGCAATATTTTGGGCTAGTTTATCATTAACATTTATCGAATGACCTCAAGTGTGCCTGGGTCCTAAGTTCTTAGCAGAGTGGCATGATTTTTGTGTCTTGTGCATGTTTCCTAGGTATAAAATAGAGATTTAAACTCTCATTCATATAAAGCATGTAGTAGATAATGGTACTTAAAGATTTCTAAGTGAGCAAGAATCCATTTGTTATTTTGCTGTATTTTGAAACCATTGTCTCTATTTTTTTCTGCTCACAAACCTTTACTTTTTCTTCTCTCTCCCTCTCTTCATCTTTAACCCACTTAATCTGGAAGCACATTCGGCTTGGTAGACTCAGATGGTCCTTGCTATGCCGTGATGGTGTATAATGTGGTGCAGAGCTGGGGCGTGCTCATTGGGGACTCTGTAGCCATTCCTGAGCCCAACCTTAGGCATCACCAAATTCAGCACAAGGGAAAGGTGAGTAATGTTTATGAGTCTTCATAACTCCTCAGACTTCTCCCTTTAAAACAGAGAAGTAAAAGTAATGAATGTGTGTATGATATGTGTCTTCTTTTGTGTATATGTACTTGTTATAGAAATACTGCTATACTGAAATGCCATGACCAAAAGCAACTGTGGAGGAAAGGGCTTCTTTCACCTTATACTTCTGCATCATAGTCCTTTGGCAGAGGAAACCAGGGCAGGAACTGGAATTCGAAACCAAGAGGCCAGAGCTGATGCTGAGACTGGAGGAGCACTGTTAACTGGCTTGTCCTCATGGTTTAGGGAACCGGCTTTCTTTCTTTTTTTTTAAGAAAGCAAGAGTTTATTCACACAATTAAATGAGACGTTTCTGTAAACAGAGAAAACACAGCTCATCACAAGATCATCTATCCTGTCAAACAGCACATAGGAAAAAATCTCAGCAAGGGAAATATGAACAGGCAGTTTGTCAAGGTACCATATCCCATACATGGACATACAGGATTGTGTGACTCAGTGACAGAGGCGTCTGGGAAAATCAGGCATTTCAGTAAATTGGTTACAGAGGATGGTAAATAAAACCACTCCCAGGTAGAGGCTGAAGACATATGTGCGTCTTTCATACCCTCTCCTCCCACGTGCCACATCTCAGCTTACCTCGACATCAGTCTTGTGTTCAGGGTAGCCTTACACATGCCCGTAGGTAATCCCACACATGCATCTACCATATGTATATGTACTTAACATATGTCCATAGACACTACGCTCAGCTTATGATCTTTACTGTATAATACATACCAAGTATACTCAGCTTGTTCTGTTGAAATTCAGCTTATTCCAACTAAAAAAACTGTTTAAACTGAAAATATATTTTAATACAAACTTTTAGCTCAAAACATTTTCCAACTAAATATGTCTTTGCTGATATTAGTAGTTGTCAGCCACAGCAGGGATATGGGGACAAGAGAGGCATGACTATCCTCTGCCAGCCCACCTGCCTTCCTTTTCTCAAACAACATTAATTATTATTCGGACTGTAACATACTCCGCAAACCTAAAACCAAACTTCTCCATCACCACAATTTCCTGTCCCAACCTCTGACTACGTAGCTACTACGTAATTATTTTTTCAAAGTGGCAGAAGATATGAAGAAATAGTAACTATAGTGTACAGTATTTAATGACATGTATGTTTAGTTTAAGGTAAAGTTGAACTGTGATTTGAATTATTATTTTTTTTTGAAGCTATTTTTGGAATTTTGGAATGAGTATTCTTATAGCACCCAGGACCACCAGCCCAAGGATTCCGTGGCTCGCAGTGAATAGGGCCCTCCCCCATCAGTAATTAGCCAAGAAAATGCGCTGCAGGCTTGCCCACAGTGCAGTCTGATGGGAGCATTTTCACAGATGACTTTCCCTCTTCCCAGATGACTTTAGCTTGTGTCAAGATGACGTAAAACCTTCCAGCATAGTATTTCATACACATGTGTAATAGGAGTGCTTTTCTGTGCATGTATTATCTGTGTCTGATGTGTGTGTTAGTGTGTATGTCTTACAATGTGTGTGATATGTAAGTGCTTTTGTGTATATTCTAGACAAATTAGTAATATTTGTATGCTTTCACATGTATGTATCTATATGTGTGCTTTTGTATGTATGTATTACACATGTGTGGTGTATATTTGTGTTTGTGTATCATATGTACATGTGTGATGTGTGTATGTATGTTTGTGTGTATGTATTGTATCCACATGTGTAAAATAAATGCTGTAGTGAGTATGCATTATATACATGTGTGTGCTGTGTATACTTTTGTTTGTATTATTTACACATGTGTGATATGTGTGTTTTCCTGTAGATGTGTTATTTACATAATGCATGATGTGTGTGCTTGTGTGTAATTTTTACACATTGCTTTCATGTGTATTTACATACATGTGTGCTTTTGTGTGTAATGTATATTACACAATATTTTACCCACCCAGATACATCTGTATTTTATTGTAAAGGAAAACTACTGGTAAACAAAAAGAAATTAAAGAATGGGCAGAAATATGTCCTAGATATGCTAGGGCTAACTAGGGAATAAATCGCAGACTATTAGTCTTTTTGTTTGTTTGTTTTTTGAGACAGAGTCTCTTTACATATCCCTGGCTGCCCTAGAATTACTTGTACAGACCAAGCTGGACTTTAACTCACAGATAGCTAACTGCCTCTGCCTCTGAAGTGCTGGGGTTAAAGATGTGTGTCACCATGCCTGGCTAGTCTTTTATATGTTAATGAGAAGCAGACTATGTAAAGGAATTTTAGACATTTTCCTGGTAATAGAAAAGGCTCCAGCTCATCTTCCTACTTTATAAATATAGAGCTGCAAACAGGGTAAGGAGAAGTTCACCCAGAAACACTTGAACAACAATGTGAAGTAGGCTCTTTGAAGACTCAGTTGAAAAAGATATTGTATATGTATTTGTGAACATCTCTAATATTTTTACGTACCTGAGTGCATTCTTTGGATTTGAGACACAGTGCTGATGAGAGTTACATTTACTGAACACTCGTGAGCGTGCTAGACACTGCTAAAAGTTTTACAGCCTGAACGGCCTGATTCGATTCTTATAAAGCATGCGAGGCTGGTCAGGAGAGATGGTTAGTAGGTAAGAGCACTTATGGGCTCGGGTTTGATTCCCAGCACCCACATGATACCTCACAGTCATCTGTAACTCTAGTTCCAGGGGATCTTACCTCCCTGGGCACTGGCGCACATATGCACATACACACATGTAGGCAAACACGTATATACATAAGAATAAAATAGGTCAACTTATAAACCCAAAACACTGTGAGAGGAGGTCCTTAGCCATACTCTTACCGTTTAGATCGGGGCAGCAGCCTATTGTGCACTGAACAGATGTGGTTCACTCTGTTGTGTAGCCAACAAGCTAAGGATTATTTCTATATCTCAGACTTTAAAAAAGTGTGTGTGTGTGTGTGTGTGTGTTTGTGTAGATGTGCATACCATGCTACAAGTGGAGGGTACAGGACTGCCTCTGGGAGTTGGTTCTTTCTGTCTAACGTGGGCTTCTGGGACTTGAACTCAGGTCATCAGGCTTGCCCAGCAAGTGCTTCAGCTGTTGAGCCTTCTCGACAGCCTTTTAGTTTAAATATATTTTATGCATATATTAGTCTGTTTTCTTGTGGGTAAGTGTTTTGCTTGCTTGTATGTATGTGCACCAGGTACATGCCTAGTGCTCTTGGGGGCCAGAAGAGGGCACTGGATCCCTTGGAACTGGAGTTAAAGGCAGTTGTGAGCTGCCTGATGTTAGTGCTGGGAACCAGCGGTTCCTCTGGAAGAACAGTGCATGATCTTTAACTGCTGAACCATCTCTCCAGCCCCTATAATCTTCTTCTGAACACTGAAACACCGAAACAAGATTCTTGACAAATTACTTGCTAACTTTCTTAATGCATTTTATCAGGGTGAGCGTTTTATTATAAGTTTATTGATTGTTTTGTCTATGAATTGCTTTTTATTCCCCCCATACTTGCCCATATTCTTGTTGGGACTTTGTAAGGAAAACAACAACAACACAAAACTTGTGAGAATTTTACTGTGGCTTAAAAGAACTCACTTGACATTGCCCATTAAGCAATTCTTAGGTGAGGCTTCTCTTCACCCTGTCTACAGCTCAACATACTTCTGAGCTGGGGAACATGGGTTTGTACATTTTCCATTATTCGGAAAATCGTTAAATTACTTTACATAGCCGGCTTCTCATTAACATAGAAAGGAGTAATCTTAATTTATATTTGGTAGTTAATCTGGGGCTTTAAAAACAGACTAGCAAGTTCCTGTGGTTCTGGCTGTTTCTTGGAACTGGAGGAGGGCAGATCCTCTGAGAGGCTCATGTCAGCCTGTTCTCAGGCTTGCTTGAACGAGGGAGCTGTCATGATCTTGGAGTTGTGTTGTTGGTGCTCTGTCTCTCTCAGAAACCGTGTCCTCTGTTTGTTCAGTTGTATCCAATGTAAGATAGAGGAAAGGAGTTGAGCACGCAGGGAGGGTAGGCAGAATAAGTTGCTTTGCTGGAGTTTTTTTCAGTGACGTTGGTCTGTAATGAATTGGTCTGTCTTTTCTAGGACTATTCCTTCTCCAGTGTCCGAGTGGAAACTCCTCTCCTGCTGGTGGTGAATGGAAAGCCACAGAACTCCAGCAGCCAGGCGTCTGCCACGGTGGCTTCCAGGCCACAGTGTGAATGACCTTGTGGAGGCTGCGAGGGTGCTGCAAATGGAGATTCCTCTTTCATGCCCCTGAGTGTAGTTGAGTCTCTCTCCTTCTCCCTGTGGAACCCCAACCCTCTTCAGAGCCATCACCACCCTTGTTTACTTCTCCTGCCTCTTCAGAAGTGCTGACTTGAAGAACAAAGCAGTAGTAGAACTGTTGGGACCCTGTCATGGGAGACTCTCCCTGAAGTCCTGAGATGTTTTGACCGTCCCCCAAACCCCTGTTCTCGCCTCCTTCTTGAGTCTAATATATATGTATATATCAGTTTACTATTTATTACTAAGGAGGCTTAACTTTCTAGTAGCTTTATATTTGAGCAGTTTTTTTTAAAACTTTTTTAAGTTTTATTTTTAGATTTAAGTTTTGATGGGTAGATTAAAGTTCTACCCATTAACCGCAACACTTAGGAGGCAGAGGAAGGTAGATCTTTGTGAGTTCAAAGCCAGCCTGACCTTATATGGGGAGTTCTAGGCCAGCCAGACACTGTTTTTTTTTTTTTAAAAAAAGTTTTATTCTCTTCCTTAGGGCTGGAACAAAATTAAATTTGTTTGGAAAAAATTTTACCCTATAGTTCTGTCTTCTTATTCTCTCATGTTATAGAGATTCTTGGTTTTAAGATCTCTAAAGTCTGTTGGAGTAACACAGCTTTTTTGGGGGCTATTATACAAAATAGTTTATCTGGATTCACAGGCAGCTGAGAGCTGCTGGTGCTGGGAACTGAACTCAGATTTTCTGCATGAGCAGTCTGGACTCTTAGGCAGTATGTGTGCGTGTAAGCATGTATGCGGTGCATATGCACTTCGCATGAGCAGTATGTATGCTGAACCCCCTATCCATGCCTGAAACTTAGAAACTAGGGAAGTTCACGTGCAGGTGTGCCTGAGTGAGGAGGCCAGAGCAGGCTGTGGGATGTCTTCCTCTGCCCTACTGCCCTGAGGTAACATCTCTCAGTGAACCTGAAGCTTGCTGTTTTGGCTGGGCTGTGTGGCCAGCAAGCTCCTGAGATCTACCCCTTTTTACCCTTCAGTGTGGAGTTTCAGGCACGTGCAGCTGGGTTTTTTACATGGGTGATGGATTTGAATTCAGGTCCTCATGCTTGTGAACAAGCACCCTTAGCCACCTCCTGTACACTGCTGTGATTTGTTTTTTTATATTTTTAAGTTCCAATTTTTTAAAAAATTTCTTGTTTTGCTGCTTCTTCTTCGTTTTTTTTTTTTGTTTTGTTTTGTTTTTTTGTTTGTTTTTTTTTTTTTTTTTTTTTTTGAGATAGGTTCTCATTTGTAGCCTTGGATGGCCTAGACCTTACTATGTAAACCATTTGTAGGCTGGTCTTGAACTCAGAGATCCACCTGCCTCTGCCTCCTGAGGCAGATCACCTCTATTCAAGGCAGGAATCACCATTCCTGGTACTGCTGGGGCATTAAAACAAGAAATTTCATGATAATATTTGTGTTGAAGAACAATAAAGTTGGTAGCATGGAACACCTTTTTTTTTTTTTTAAATATGATCTTAACATAAGACTTTTACTGTTTCATTTTGTGTGTATGTATGTGAGTGTGCATGTATGTTATGTATGTGGTATATGTGCACATCTCTGTATGTGCTACAGCATGAAACAACAGAAGAGAAGTTTATTATAACGGACAGTATCAGGTCCAGAATCAGAGCGCCTGGGATCAGATTCAGCTCACGTGCGCCCACCACTCCGGCATAGCTTCTGCATCTGTGTTCTGGACCATGTGTTGAGCGTGTGATGGCTCATTAAATCTCCTGGCAGACCTGCAAGGTAGTAGCATCCTAGTAGACGTAGACATGAAGTTTCACAGGTAATCGACACAGGTTCTCTCCTTGATCAAGCTGTGGCAAAGCTCCTCTGAGCTGTTTTGTTCCTTGTCTTATAAAGACTTGAATAAAAGACTACCACGTTATTTAATTTATTCTGTCTTCCTTTTTAAAATTAGCATACAAGTAGTGTGTTTTCATCGTGACAGTTTCATATATACTTTCTTTCCAGTGGGCCTTTCCTCCCACTCTACCCCATAACCTTCCCCTCTGACCCTTCCTGTCCTCCTTTGGGTCCCTTCTTCATTACACCACTTCTATTTTCATTTTCATGTCACATTTTAAAAGAATATACCTCATTTGACCGTGTGTGTGTGTGTGTGTGTGTGTGTGTGTGTGTGTGTGTGTGTGTGTATCTGAGTGTGGGTATGTGTCCATGAGTGCAAGTGCTTAGGAAGGTGAGTGGTGTTGGATCTCTTCGGACCTGGAGTTAGAGGTGGTTGTAAACTGCCTGATGTGGGCCTTGGGAGACAAACTGGTATTCTCTATAGTTGCATTCTGTCCCTCTGCAAGAGCAGCAAGGGTTTCTAACCACTGTGCCATCTCTCCAGTTCCTGGAGCACCTGTATTCTATTTCCTCCCGTTTATATTCCTCTCTTTTCTTGCAGTCCTTTTCTAGCCTTGATAACTCATACTGCCGCCATATATATACACGTGACAAAAAGCACAGGATCTGCATCTGAAAAGAGGGTATCCGGGTCTCACCTATTGGAAGTCCTGCTGTGAGAGTGCTGCTTGTCTGTCTGCACACACCTGGAGATATGTCTCCCTCCCCCTGTCTCCCAGCCGCGAGGAGGGGAAAGGCCTAATTTGATAAGTGCCAGTTAAACCCAAATGAGTTTTATGTGGACCAGAGTTCTGCTGCTGTTGGTACTCACTTCCTGACTACCGGGCAGCCTTTTTTCTGTGTTTACCCTCATTCTTCCTGTAAGACTCCATCACGGCTAGGTAAGCTGATATTTAAAATGTCTGAGTCATGCTGCGATAGCATATTACTTACCAGAAATATATGCTTGCTGCTTTAACTCATGTGCTTTATGTTTAATACAAGAAAACCCCACAGGGTCTGGGGATGTAGCAGGGGCAGGGGGACTCAGTGAATGTTCAACCCCCATCAACTGCAAAAAACAAAACAAAAACCAAAAATCCATGGCATTTGAAACAGTTAAGGTTTCATGTCCTGGCTTTGCTGCTTATTAGCGTACAAGCAGACAACAGTATTATTATGATCATTGTTAAAAAAAAAAAAGAAGCAGGGCCGCAGAGGCGGGTCCCTGGCTAAGAGCATGACTGCTCTTGCAGAAGACCTGAGTGTGGTTCTTGGCAGCATGCCACACAGTTCATAACTGCTTGTAACTCCAGCTCCATGGCATCTGACTCCCGCTTCTGGCAACCACCGCATAGGCATGCACATGGGCATAAACACATTCCTACACAATTAACATCTCTTAACAAATTGGAGAAAGTTCCAGCTATGGGGGAAAGGGTTACAGTACTAGTCAAGCGCTGAGCTACTGTGCTAAGCTGAATGCTGTGCTAAGAATGGAAAGGAAGCCTCTGAGGTGTCTGAGGGCAGACTTGGTATTGAAGGAGTCGTCTGAGGTGACTTCCCAGGCTTCTAGCTTGGATGGCAGTGTGCGATGATAGCTGCTAATATGGTAGGTGACAACAGTGGTCACTGGAAATTTTGATGCCCATTCTTTTGGATCTCGAATGATTTTTAGTCATCTGCCTGTATCCTTTGGGCTGTGAGTTGTTTGAAGGTATTCAACTTTGATTTCATAGTTCTTGGGTGACAATATGACAGAAGTTCTCAATAAATTTACATGGTACTCGTAAAAATCACCTCTCTCATCACATGCTGGAGTTTTCTTTATGGGTGTCCTAGCTGGGTTTTGTCAGTTTTGCACAAACCTAGCTGCATTGAGAAAATGCCTCCATAAGATGGCTTGCAGGCACGTCTATGGGGGCATTTTCTTGATCAATGATTGATGGGAGAGGAGCCAGCTTACTGGGGACAACACCACCCCTGGACTTCTGGCCCTGGATGGTATAAGAAAACAGGTTGAGCAAGTTAGGGGAGCAAGCCAGTAAGCAGTGTTCCTCTGTGGCTTCTGCCTCAGTTCCTGCCTCCAGGTTCCTGCCCTGAGTTTCTACTCTGATCTTCAGTGATGGAGTTGACCTGAGTGTAAACTGAAATGAACCCTTCCTTCTGCACATTGCTTTAGTTATGGCGTTCATCACAGCCACAGAAAACAAAGACCACAGCCAACCAGGAAGTAACCATTTCCATCTTAATTGTATGCGTATTAACTTGAGACAGGAAGTGGAAGTCTGCCAAAGCAGGGGCTACTTTTAGGCCCCAACCCTCATTGCTTTTTCTTTCTGTTCAGGGACTTATTACTGATGCAACTGTGATTCACTGTCCCTCAGTGCCGCGGGATCCAGTGCAACTTTTAATTGGGAGTTACTATAATCACTTTTGTCTCTTCACCCTTGCTTCCTTCTCTAATTAGTTCTCAGGGGTCCCCTACTCCTGTGCCAAGCAAGCAGGGCTGTGGCTGGGAGCTCCGGACTGGTGCCAGGGGACCCTGGGTTCTTCTGGTACAACTCTGCTTCTTTAAGTTTCTTTTTTAGTTTGTTAAAACAACTTTGTCTTTGGATTGGGCCTGAGAGAAGAGGATTCCTTTGAGCCTTGTTTTCAGAGGCAGTTTGAACGTTGCCAAGCTTCTCTTGGTATTGCCAACTACTGTATTCTGAATAAATAGTTTTGTTCTTGTTAGCGGAGAAGGGAGGCAGTGTCTGATAGAGGTGTTCAAAGTGAGCTTGTTGGATGATGGGAGAAATGAATAGGCAAAATGGCAAATATCTGGACCTTGGCATTGTGGTCCATATACTGCTCCTGTTAGCAAAGACTTTGTGAGAAACTTGCTTGACCTCTGATTGTCATTGTCTAAAGCAGAGTGATAGAAGTTTTGCAGCTTTGGCCACTAATTGAATTATATTAAAATATTTTTAAAATAAGGTTTATGTTTTAGAGCAGGTTTAGAGTCGCAGCGACACTGAATGAAAGTCTTAGCATTTCCACGTGTCCATCTCCCTCCTGAATTCCCAGCCTCTCCTGTTGGCATCTTATACCGGAGTGGAACATTTCTAATAAGTGATCTCTTGATCACTTAAAGTCTGTAACTTAAATGCTTCGTTAATATTTTATGGGTTTTGTAAATGTGTACAGAAAGGGTGTTCATGACTGCAGTTTCACTGTGAAAAAAATCTTTGGCATTCTGCCTACTTAGCCATTTCTTCTTTCTAATCCCTGATCATTTTATATTCTTATAGAATATAAAGTTGCAGCCATAGACTACATAATGTTTGCAGGTTGACTTCTTGACTTATTTTTTTAAAAAGACACAAACTTCTCCCCCTGAGAGGCGAGCAGCCTTGCCAGGCCACAGAGGAAGACAATGCAGCCAGTCCTGATGAAGCCTGATAGGCTAGGGTCAGAGGGAAAGGGAGGAAGACCTCCCCTATCAGTAGACTTGGAGAGGGGCATGGGAGGAGATAAGTGAGGGAGGATGGGATTGGGAGGCGATGATGGAGGGGGCTACAGCTGGGATACAAAGTGAATAGACTGTAATTTATTTAAAAATAAATAAATTAAAAAAGCTGTAAACAAACAAAAAAAAGACACAAACTTCTACAATGATTTCAAAGTTACTGTAGAAAACACATACCTAGCCATACCTTTTTGACTTCTTTTTTGATAATTGATTATCAAAAAAGGAAATTACCTTTGAACAATGCTCGCCTTTGAGAAAGCAATGATAGAAGTTTGTTCCCCAGTATCTTTTTTTTTTTTTAATTTTATTTGTTCATTTTGTGTGTCTTGATGTTTTGCCTGCATGTGTATCTATGCACACCATGTGCAAGCCTGGCCCATCATGGTCAGAAGAGCGTGTCAGATCCCCGGAGCTGGAGTTACAGACAGTGTACAGGCTGCCACGTGGGTCATGTGGGTGCTAGGAATTGAACCTGGGACCCCTGCAAGCCCAGCCAGTGTGCTCTTAACTGTTGAGCCGTCTTTCCAGCCTGGCCTTTAATATCTTTTTTTTTTTTTTTTTTTGAGAAAGAGTCCTGGGGACCAAATTGGCTCCAGATTTGCTATGTAGCCGATGACCTTGATCTCTCACTTCCTGAGTGCTGGTGTTCAGGCATACAGCACCGTACCCAGTGTTATGTGGCCTCAGAGACTGTACCCAGGGCTTTTGTATATGGTAGGCAAGCAACCGAACACCCGAGTTTCAGTCAATGCCATTGACTACTGTTCTTTAGTCTGATTATAGTCAGGGTCCAGGATGAAGGACCTTACTTGAAAGTCTGGATATCAGGGTAGTTGTTACACTGTAGATACGTCCTTACAAGCTTTGGTCTTGTAAGACAAGAAAAGTGCAGAAATCTCAGTCAATACATAGTTTCATCGGTTTCATTGGAACTGCATTCTAAATCAGTGGTTTCAACATGTGGGTCATGACTCCTTTGGAGATCAAATGACCCTTTCACAGGGGTCACCTAAAGACCACCAGAAAACACAGATATTTACGTTATGATTCATAACTATCAAAATTACAGTTATGAAGTAGCAATGAAAATTTTATGAAACTGCCTCAGGTATCTTGTAGAATAGCCCCCAATCTGGGCTTGATCTTTTTCCATGACTAACGGCAGTTGTGGGTCTTGGGAAGATACTGAGCAAGTAAGTAGATTGCTCTTCTCATCACAACATTTAGGATCACATGCTGTTTACTTTTCATCATTCGTGATGTTGATATTCACCTGGGGTTGGCTACCAGCTTTTTCCCTTGATTGTTATGATGTCATTTATTTATTTACTGTGCTTTGGAAGGAAGAAGCCTGTCAGGGGAGAAACCTGAGCTTTATCACCTGTGGGAACCTGTAAATTTCTGTGGTCATTTGATCATTTGTTGTAGCAACAAGGACCCCTGCATATTTATACTTCATACTTTGGTTAATCCAGTGCATTATTTTCTTTTAGAGAGGTTGTTTCACCTTTGGCCTTGATGGACAGCTCTTTTGTGCTAGTTCCTGTATGTGTATTTGACATACTCCATTAGCTTTTTGAGCATTTTCTTGCTGGAACTACAAGGTGCTCCAAGCTCACGTAGAATTTCCCTTGTGCAAGCTCCAGAGTTAGTATTTTGTCTGATTATTATCAGCACCTTTTGTTGAAAATTGAGATCTAGAAACTGGGAGGTGAATGCTGGGTATGATCATTGCTTCCGTCGTGTTGTTGCTTCCTACCTGACACGTCCAGCCCGACGCTGGGTGCTACATGTACCCAGCAGAGCTGTGAATGTGACCCTACACACGATGCAGGGACTGAACTCAAGTCATTAAACCTATGTGACACTGTTAGCTGCTGAGCCATTTCTTTCCCATTCTGAAAAAAACAAAAACAAAAACATTCACCAGACTTGATTTTTGTACACAAATCTTTCTTTACTAAAAAAAGTTCCATTTTTACATCTTTCTAACATTTTCTTTCTACTAATATGGTACATAGTAACATAACAAATAAATCTACCATCTAGTTAAAGGCAGTTGAAGCCAAACTACAAATACAGCATAATGCAATACATTCATATTACCTGTATGGATATTATTAAAGTTTATTGAAGCTCTGCAAATTCTCAGGCAAACTCCATAGAAAACATAAGACAGTCAGAAATCTTTTTTGCATTTTATGTAGTCTAAAGAATGACCTACCATAGTTGTGCTTTTGGTTTTGAATGAATAAAACCAGCAGGTAGAAGGAAGAAATAAATACCAAAACATCAAATTGATGTTTACATTATGTGCCAGAAATCGATTAAGGAAGCCCAGCTAAAACTGTGAGGCTGGGGTTATGGACTGAGAGGATTATTAGAGAGCACTCCCAAGAAGAAGCGTCCTGTTAGCCATTCCCGCTAAAGGTCGTTAACAATATGTAGACAGTTTACCTCTTAGTTGTTCTGAAAGGTACAGTACCTCCACTTTGGGTTCCTTTGTTTTTTTCTCATTCCAGAGTCAAGGATTGCAGGGGGTACTGGCTGACCCAGGGCAGGGAAGATCGGACAGCATTTGAGATGAATGTACTTAAGCATGATGTGGGAGGGTCAAATCCTCCTGAGCCAGTTTCTTGGTGAGCTTAACCAGCATGTGATGCCTTATCAACATAATGTACACATGAAAGACGTTTGTATCCTTTTTCAAAGGAAGATAGCAAACAGTTAACTTTTTCTAAAGTGTCAGAGAAGAAGAGTAAGAATCCAGTGGTGCGGGCTGGGCAGGAGACTCACGGTCGGGTGCAGTGATCATCCTGGAATACTTGGCAGAAGCAGACAAAAAAGTGTGGAACAAAGGATTCTTGGAGTTGGAGAATGTGGGGGGTGGGCAGAACAATCTATTTCAGCCGGAGACAAAGCAAGCGTCGGGATATAGTAGAAAGGGGAGACCCAGTGGAGCCAGCCTCGCCTGTCTTCCTCCTGAGGAGGCTGCACAGGCTGGGGAGAGTCCAAGTTCCTTTTAGAAGCCAGTGGCTGGATTATGTAAAGGAACTGCCTCAAAACCAAGAGAATCCACCGTGGAGACCTGGTACTGCTTCCTTATTCTGATACATAGCAATATAGAAAGCCAGGAAACATTATCTAATGGAGAACAAAACAGCCAAGGAAAGAATACTTGGATGGACAGGACTAATTGACACCCACTGGGGAGAGAGTGTTTGTTTGGTAAGTCAAGTAAAGAGAAGGGAAAGAGAATCAACAAGCTTCTTTGAGGATGCCAGTTTTCCTTTTGGAAATGCATGAGCTCAGAGATCAGCACAGTGAACAGAAACCAGGAGTCCAGAGAACTCAGGGTGAATGAAAAGAAGAATAGAACTCCTGGTTAAGGGCAGGAGCCCAGAAAGAAGGGGCCAGAACCCTGGGAGTAGAATCCATTGAAGAGGGGCCTTCAGTACCTAGGCAGAGAGACCACGTGAACCCACCCACACTAGGACAAAGAGGAACAACGGCATCAGGTTGGTAAGAGAAAAGGGAACCTGAGGACTGTACAGGGCTGTGGATGGGCAGGACCTGAGCTGCTCCGGAGCATGGAGGGTAACAGAAGACTAAACGGCAGAATAGGCACCAGGGGAGGGTGTGTCTGAAAGGCTCTGCCCTGCAGACTATCAAAGCGGACGCTGAGACTCATGGCCAACCTTTGGGCAGAGTGCAGGGAATCTTATGAAAGAAGTGGGAGAAAGTAACACCTGGAGGGGACAGGAGCTACACAAGGAGAGCAACAGATCCAAAAAGTCTGGAACAGGGGTCTTTTCTGAGACTGATACTCCAGCCAAGGACCACTCATGGAGATGGCCTGGAACCCCTGCACAGATGTAATTCATGGCAGTTCAGTGTCCAAGTGGGTTCCATAGTAATGGGAACAAGGACTGTCTCTGACAGGACCTGATTGGCCTGCTCTTTGATCACCTCCCCCTGAGGGGGGAGCAGCCTTACCAGACCACAGAAGAAGACAATGCAGCAACTCCTGATGAGACCTGATAGATTAGGATCAGAGGGACGGGGAGGAAGACCTCCCCTATCAGTGAACTGGGGGAGGGGCATAGGTGGAGAAGGGGGAGGGAGAGTTGGATTGGGAGGGGAAGAGGGAGGGAGCTACAGGGGGGGGGGATACAAAGTGAATAAACTGTAATAAATAAAAATAAAAAGAGTACAGATTGGCTTTAATAGGGTTGTTACAGATCTCTTTAAAGTTAGGCCCCTTAATTTTGTGTTTTGGCCACAAAAAATGTTGTCACATACATAGGAAGGTAATAGATGGACTATTAAAAAGGCTAAGAGAGTCCAAGATAATTTTGACTCTAGACCTGTAACATTTTAATTCTTTACACTTACTGGAGTTTTAACAGTATAGAATTAGTTTGGTGTTTTTAAAATAGATGTAACATGGAAATATTATATTCAATATTAAAATAACAAACTGTGTTTTAAAGGAGCAAAGACAGCAGATTGAGGAGATAGGTGCTCTAGTTTAGGTTAGAAGAATTCAAGTATAAATTCCCCCAATTGGTTTAACTAAGATGGGGTCTGAGAAAACACCTCCGAGATACTTAATATTATCTTTACCTGTGTTCTTATCAGAATGAAGAGTAGTTGTTATCAAATAACTACCGAGGAATAACCTAGCAAATATTTTAAATATTTTGCAAGTACAACATGATTTAAGGAATATAAAAAAGTATAGGCTGCGGGAAACCACAACGTTGGTATAATGTTCTTTTGGAATGTATACACCTCACCCTTGTTCATTCAAATGCTGATTTCTCTCCCCCACTATCTGATTTCAATCTGGACATTGCATTGTGATGTTTATTCTAAGCATCACCTGTCTCAAGTTTGTGTAAACATGCCACCATTTGTTCTCTAATGTGTCAATTAAAACAACTGGCCACAGTGTTGAGCTATGGAGAGGGCAGGGTGGACATCCTGGTTGAGAGTGGGAGGAGAGGAAGGAAGCAGGAGGAGAAGAAGAAAGTAGGAGGAGAGGAAGAACTAGGAGGAAGAGGGGAGGGACTGGAGGGGAGGAGGGGGTAAGAGGGAGAAGAGGAGAGAATCTGGGAGAGTAGAGGCTGGAGGAGAGGTCTGGGACCGACATGGAGAATGAACCAGGCCTAAGATTTCACCAAAAGCCAGCCTAGTTAAGTCCTAAACACTCAAAAATTATAATTCATATGGTTAAAAACCAAAACTGTCCATCCCATATCAAAAAAGGGGCAAGCCAAAGATAGCCAAAACCAATGTAAAAATCCAGTGCAAGATACCTAGGATATACTTAAGTGTTAAAGGTAAAAGAGAGTTTATATAAAGTTTGGCTACAAAGGCATAACTGGCCACAATGTATAAAAAAGGGACAAGCCAAAAAAATAGCCACAACCAATGTAAAAACCCAGGTACAAGATGCCTAGGGTATGCTTAAATGCTAAAGGTAAGAGGGAGTTTAAATGAAGTTTGCCTATAAAGGGCATAACTGCCTGTTCTATATAAAAAAGGCGATAGGACAAATAGCTACAACATATATAAAAACCTAGGCCTAAACCTCCAAACAGATACAAGATGCCTAGGGTATGTTTAAATTCTAAATTAAAAAGAAGTTTATGTAAAGTTTACTCAAAACATGCCTGTTCTATTGCTCAAGGCAACCAGCTTGTCTGTCTAATGGGAGGCCTCTCTAGGGAGATAGATAGCAACTTGGCCTAATACAACAGGAGCCCAAGAGCCCAAAAACAATATTTTGATCTATCCAACCTTGTTTTGATTTTAACATGATAATGATTGTATGTTCAATAATAATGGTAACGTATATTGCTGATCCCATTAGATGGGAACAACTCTAAAACTGACTGAGACATAAAAATACGTCTACAGCCAAAACTCCAACAATACTTGGCCAATAAATCCTTGGTTATAATATCCTCAAAATGTATTATGCTATTCTTTTAATTGGCATAGATAAAATTGGCTTACAGTTTAGTTTCATCCTGTACATCTCATACATTTATAATTTTAGAACTCTATAATGCTTGTGAAAAATTAAATGTTTGCAGAACAAAAGAACTGGACACCAGAGATGCTGGACCAAACCTGACAAAATCATCTTTCCAACATGCTGAGACATTGACACATCTGTTACAGCATCTTACATATTCCAGCATTCTGCTTGTTCCTGCCTCAACTGCTTCAAGTGCTGTTTCTCATCAAAGCCTGCTCCCAAGAAATCTTTGAAGAAAGCTACTAATCTTAATTGGTCCAGCATTTTAGACTGTTCCAAACGGAGTTTTATTAAGCTTGAAATTTCTCAACATTCAAAGACTGGACCACAAATGTTATTGCTTGCTTAATTAACCAATTTTTCCCAATTTTCTTTGGGCTCCCTAACAAAATTTCTGTGTGTCCAAAATGTAAGCTAGAAGAAATCCATGAGAATGACGTCCAATTTTCCTTAAAGGGGGTTGAGTAATTTTTGGTTGTTTTCTATGACTACAAATTTTTATTGTCATTGGGAGATATTTATAATTACTAATGGTTGTATTCAGAGTGAAACAAGGTTATTTTCAGGGATTTCTCTCTTTACCTTTTTCTTTTTTCTATCTTTCTTTCTTAGATATGAGAAAAGGGGTTGAAAAGAAAGGAGTATACAGGAATATCTTATAGAATAAGACAAAAGGTAGATTATTGAATCTTCTCAACTTAGGGTTTTATCTGTTATTCTCAAATAAGGTTAATTTTAACTCTGGTATAGGATTTTGCATATTGATGCAAAAATAAGTCTATTTTTGATACATTGGTATATGCTTTAGTATACTGATACAAATTCAAGGTTACTTCCAATACTTTTAAACTGCTATTAACACTGGTTAGGGTACTAGGTAATGCAAGTTAATTGTTAATCAACTCATAGTCATGTCACTAAGTTGAGCTTTCTTTCTATGTGTGGAAGGATTCTATTCATTACCAATAAAGCATAGATACATATATAAAGAACATAAATACAGATACATAGCTTATAAAACATTTGGACTGAGGTGTTTGCCTGGAGAGATGGCTCAGTATGTTAAGGTACTTGCTACAAGCCTATGGAACTGAGATCCTTCCCCGAGACCCACAAGTTAGGACAAATCTTGCAAAAATTGTTCTGTGATCTTCATGTGTGTGTGCATGGGTACCTATGAAATAACCGTAACTTTTCAAAGTGACCCTGAAAACTACTGTCTAGCAGTCCTGAAGATTTTTTGTGCCTTTCTGGTAAATGGTGAAATGCTGACCTACTTTATCCACACTCTGAAATCTGGCAGAGTAGCTGTACTCATCAAGACCATGCACCATGGAGAACAACAAGAGGTAATATACCATAGTCAACAACATTACTCATGATGAGCTACTGATGGGTCACATCATTCTATAGATAGCCATAATACTGGCTTGTAACCACACCACCTGAGCAAGGGCAATGAAACACACCCAGCTTAGATGGAGGCTCCAGTGTCAGATTTAGAGGACAAAAGATGGCTAGGTTAGCTGCAGCCCAAAATGAAACCCGTGCTGTCTGTCTGTGCATAGTTACAGTCATGGTCATTGGGATGAAGACAATTCTGCAAAGGGAGGAATGAAAAGCATGAGGTCGGAAATGACCAAGACTTGCTACTGAGCAGTGATGAGCAGTATGTATTTTGCCCACACATGCAAACAGACTTCTACCTCTGGATAAATCTTGGGACTTGCCGAGTGGTGACTAGAATTTGAGACTTGGACATTCTGGTCTATATCCATTTCTGCTGCACCAGTGGGTTTTTTGTCAAACTTGGACACTCATGTCTGCCAGGTAGTTCTTTAAAAGTGAATGAATGACTGCCTTGTCATCTTCTGTGGCCTGGTAAGGCTGCTCCCTCCTCAGGGGGAGGTGATCAAAGAGCAGGCCAATCAGATTATGTCAGAGGCAGTCCCTCTTCCCATTACTATGTAACCCACTTGGACACTGAATTGTCATGTGCTACATCTGTGCAGGGTTTCTAGGTTATCTCCACGAATAGTCCTTGGTTGGAGTATGAGTCTCTGGGATGTTCCCTGTGTACAAATTTTCTGGTTCTTTTGCTCTCCTTGTGTGGTTCCTGTCCTCTCCAGTTCTTACTCCTGATGTGATCTGATAGACTAAGATCAGAAGGAAGGAGAAGAGGACTGCCCTCTTCAGTGGACTTGGGGAGGGGCATGCGTGAAGGGGGAGGGAGGGATGGTGGGACTGAGAGTGTAGGAGGGAGGGGCTTATGAGGGGATACAACGTGAATAAAGTGTAATTAATAATAGAAAAATTAAAAAAAAAGAAAAGAACAAAACATGAAACAAAGAAACAAACAAAAAATATCAAAAAATGAATGATAGAGCCTGGCATGCAGGAGCAGCATATCCTGAGTTGCATGCCTGTGTAAAACAGTACTGCACAGGTTCAGGCACCGAACAGGAAGCTGAATTTCCTTAGGAACAGAGCTAGCAACTGCATCCTGGCTCTCTATGGGAGCATGTTACAGAACACTTCAGTGAAGGTTCTGATCATCCCTGCAGCAGAGGCTCCTGCCTGTAATTCTTTAGCCTTTTCTATGCTAGGCAGTCACTCTGCCAACTAAGCTATGTCTAACATATAGTGCTACGCACACACGATGATTTTTTTCTTTCTTCAGACAGCAAGTCACTATGTAAATAACAGAATCCCTATAACCAATAGGTCTTTGGTTATCTTTGGTGGAGAGAGCACCACACTCAGCCTGAGGACCTTTTCTCTTGGTGCCTCCACTGTTTCAGTTTCCTCTGCCAACAGTTCAGCATGCTGATGGCTGCATTCTCCATCTGCTAAGGCATCTGGAGGCAACTTTCAAAGGCCAGGTACATGGCTTCTGTGCCTGAACCCCCTAACAAACATCCCACACTAAACCAGCACTTCAGGCTCTTCCTGGATGTGCATTCAAGCACATATACACATAAGGCAGGAGACCATTCCTCTGCCATAATCATCCTGTTGTGAGATCTCATCACCATTTATTTTCTGATATTGGTGAAAAGGAGGTTTTGAGGTAAGAATGAGACATTCCTAGGCATGTTTGGAAAATAAAAATTTATTTCCTCATAGGAAGTACTAACATGTTTCTAATCAAGGCTAGAGGTATCTGTGGCTTTGAAATGAAGTGGTGGTCAATGGCAATGTCCTAGGAGAATCTCCTTGGAAAGGGCCCCTCAGCTAATGGTAAGTACAAGGTGAACATCAGCAGGGTTCCCAGTGACATCAGCTGTCTGTTTTCTCTACATTCTGTTGTATCCTGGAGAGGTCATGGCAATGCTGTGATGTCACTAGTGTTGTGGCAACACCAACTGCTCTTAGGGCAGTTGCCTATAGGTCTCATCAACAGCCATGTGAGCCAGACTGAGAAGTCTCTTTGAGAAAGAGAGTGGGGACAGTCGAAAAATCAAAGAGAGGCAGAAGGCAGATGGTCTTCCATCACATTTTAAAATATCAAGAAAGAAGTTGTCCTGGGGAAGGAGCAGTGAGTCCTGGGCAGAGGAGATGGGCTTGAGGTGGGAGCTACAATAATGGGGCAGTGGAACAGGAACATCTGGGAAGCAAATGGACATTTCTGCTTAACATAGGTCATGAAAGTTAAGGATTCCAGAACATTATTTTGTCTGTCCCCAGAGCCAGGACTGGCAAGGCCAAAGCTCTTTCACTGGAGTTCTTAGCTTTCATCTTATTGGGCATTTGTTGTGTAACATGACAACAAAAGGCAATCATCAGGGGTCAGGGAGGTTAACATTTCACAATTTAAGGCAGGGCGTTACTGTATTTCACAATCACAGACTTGTTTTAGGTGCTTTGGCTATCTGACAGTAGTTACAGGGACAGAAATGTGCTCTTGGCTATGTCCTTATGTGCTCATATCACCTCTGACCACCTCTCTCTGACAGCTGCACACTTAGGTTTGTGAATCAGTAGTCTGGGTGGCAGTCATTTCTCTAGTACAGGCAAAGTGTTAGAGGCAGACAGAGACTGAATCTTTACTGTCAGTGCTGTGGTGTTTTGGTATGTCTCTGGGCAGAATTGCTCAGTCTCTTGATCATGTTCTGCTACTGCATGACTGTCTAATCCACAGGAATGGTCATAGAGTGACAAGGCAGGAGTTCAGTGTGTCTCTAAAGCACCTGAGTGCCTGTGGACTCTGCCGTTATTCGCCTGGGTTCTGAAACCACAGGCCTGAGGGCTCAGAAGCCAAGCGGAATCTTGTAAGGAACACATGTAAGGAAGCAGTGGAAATACTTAGCTGCTTAGATACCCACTTCTTTTTTAAAAAAAAATTAATTACGCTTTATTCACTTTGTATCTATCCCCCCTGTAGCTCCCTCCTTCCTATCCTTCCAACCTCTCCCTCCCTCCCCCTTCTTCACCCATGTCCCTCTTCAAGTCCACTGATAGGGGAGGGCTTCATTTCCTTCCTTCTGATCCTAGTCTGTTAGGTCTCATCAGGAGTGGCTGCATTGTCTTCCTCTGTGTCCTGGTAAGGCTGCTCCCCCCTCAGGGGAAGGTGATCAAAGAGCAGGGCAATCAGTTCATGTCAGAGGCAGTCCCTGTTCTCATTACTGTGGAACCCACTTGGACACTGAATTGCCCTGGGCTACATCTGTGCAGGGGTTCTAGGGTTCTCCATGCATGATACTCACTTCTTAACAGAGTGATGGCAGATCTGAGATACAGAGAGCAGGCATCTCAGTTTTAGGCCACAATTGGTAAAATCTTGTCACTGGGTTCTAGGCATGCTCTATTTGTATCCATTCTCTGGCCTTCTCACTATGCAAGTTCACTTTTGTTCTCCCTACAGAGGGCAGTGGGGAGACACCATCCCCCACAAAGCTCCCCTCCAAGAAGCAGGTGAAGAAGGAAATGGACAGGTTGACCACTCAGCTGCAGCTGATGACCATGGAGAAAAATTTGCTGAGAGATCGCCTGATCCTCATCACAGATGGATCCTTGGACAATAGGTATACATTTTTTTTTTCAAACCCCATGGTGTCATTCTTGGGTCTGCAAAGTCACCCTCATCTAATCCTTTTAAGGACGCCTCCAGGGTGTCATGACCCTAAATGCTGCTCAGAGGAGAGGCAGGAAATTAAGCTTTGGCAGCAGTGATATCTGGAAGAACACATATGCTTTTTCCAAATGAAACCCTGTGTTCTGAGTCACACAACACATGGATTGAGGCAGTGGAGAGTGAATTCCCAGCATGCATTTGGAAAGGGCTTGATAGGTGATGGCTTGTGTGAGACACTAGCTGCTGTGAGTCTGTGATGAGATTTTTACTTGCCTGAGAGGAGATTTAATGCTAGAAGCTCCTTGTAGCAGCTGGAGGGGCCTGATCCCTCTTAGTTTATCTTAATGTAGGACAGAAAGGCCTGGCTCAACACTGTTCATCTCTCTTCTTGTGCCTTATACTCTTGGGACATTACATGAGATAAAATTTTTTAGCATTCCATTGTTCTTTCTCTCTCTCTCTCTTTCTGTCTGTGTCTGTGTGTGCATATGTGTACGTACAAATTTACATGTTTGTGTATCCCTCTAGACTCTTGGAGCTAATGGTGTGAGGGGGTCTTCCGGTCTCAGTCTCCATGTGATGCCCGTGCTGAGTTCTGGGTGTGCCACTTTAAGCTATACTTAGCCTATGTGGTCAGATTGGAGGCACAGTAGAATCCCCTGGGCAGTTTTTAAATCTGTCTCTAGGCTGGCCCTCATCCCCAGAATTATGTCTGACTCTGAGAAATAGTCATCAAGGATCAAGAATTATTGTTCTGAAAATGGGAGAAATGAAATCACAGGATTTTTTTGTAGGCCAAGATTTATGGAATGCCTCACTGAGACTGTAAAGGGGTAAACAACTCCTCCAGGCTTACTGAGTGAGGTCATACAGCCAGGGCAGCTTTCACCTGGACACCTTTAGCCTCTGCTTGTCTGTGGCCAGGATAACAAGACATATAAGCAGCAGACTGAACCAGCATACAGGGTCCAGAATGTGGCATCTTCTGCTCTTGTGTATTTGGCTCACAGCCTGAGTTCACCAGATCCTTGAGGCCTGTATTCATGGGGTTCTTTGATTTTGGGGCCAGGCCCTACTACAGGCCAAATCCTTTCTATGAAAGACTGATGACACAGCATAAACAGGTGATATTGGACCTGCAGACCTTAGAGCAGGAGCACACTGAAGCCTCACAGAACCTCAAGGAGCTCGACAAGGAGACTGGCTTCTATTGGTAAGTGCCTGTCAGGGAGCCCAACAGCTGTGGGATGGTTACCTTTGTTTTCCTTTATTCTAGACTGGAGAATACCCAGCTCTGGGTCTATCCTTTCTACCTCTTAGCCATCAGCCTACCTGTTCCTTTTGGACTCCATTTTGCTAAGTATGAAAGAGGCTGTTACCTCTTCCAGGATTTTCATTTGAGCCTCAGGAGCCTCTAGTTAGAAATAAATTCACAGCATGGCAGAGTTGTCAGGCCGGCCTAGGTATCTGGGACTCAGGAAGGGTTTATGGAGCTGAGTGTTACGGAACTTGTGATAGAATGTGCTCCCCTTGGTTCTCCTTTCCTACCTTGAGGGCATTTGTCACCTATTTTTTTATGATTCCCAACTCCCTGGGACAATAGAGTACACGTGGAGACTCCTTTCTCTTTGAGGAACAAGGAACCCTGTTAGTGTTGGAGACTTTAGCAGTTCTTACTCTTTCGTGAATTAGCTGTTCTCTCAATGGTTTTCTTAGTGCAGCAGGCATGGTTGTATTGGGCTCTTTCCTAGGAGTCTTCACTGAAATCTTGAGCCTTGTGGTGTTGATAGGCCCTGAAGGTAGGGATGGCAAGAGCAGGCTGGCAGGGGTGGGGGCATGAGGATGCTGTCAGAGGCTTACTCTTCAGAGGATCTTTCCAGCAACCTCCACAGCCGGCTCCTGATGGAACAGGCTCAGTTGAAGAAGAAGGTGGACATGATGACACAGGACAATGAGATGGCACAAGAGAATCGGGTCCTGCTAAAACACCAGTTGGCAGAAATGCAGCAGATTTTTAAGGACCAAGAGGAGGAGACCAGTGACCTCCAGACACAGCAACTAGACAAGGTCTGGAACCATTTGCCTACTGGACTCTTTGTCTGATCATCTACACACCTGAGCTCTCACCCATCACCCTCCTTACTAATGTATACTTGCCACCCTCTGCCCACCTCATGCCATCTGACTGTTCTTTTCTATGTCATTGCACAAAGTATTCTGTGAAATTAACCTCTTGTGAGAAACTTGATTCTTGGCAAGTATACCCTGCTGTTCTGCTTGAAGGTGCAGTCCAAAGAGCAGAGTGGGGAACGAGATATCCCACAATTATATGCTCTCTGGTTATCTAGGCTGTAATGTACGCAGATCATTGGTGCCTTGTGGGTACTGTGATATCACAGGTGGGAAACAGCTAGCAAGAGGATGACCCTACTTCTAATGTCAAATGATTGCTTCTCATTGTCATCAATTCCGATGTCATGTGGCCTTCTCCATTCTTCTTCACTCCAATATGGTCTCTTATGTTTGGCCACCTCTTCATGCACACTGACAGATGCCTGAGTTAGTTTCCCAGCCCTCTTCTAGGAGTTTTTGTGGAGAGTTTATACTCTGGAGCTGACTGGACATCAAGAGATATATGAAGGACATTTGACAGACAATTTGAAGAGGTCAGAGTCATGAAACTTTAGAGAAAAAAAAATTCTCTAACCATCTCAACTTACTCTGGCTAAGCAGAGCAAGCTCCTCACAGCCATTATAGTTCCCAAGGGATGGAGAGCAGAGTTGTGAGACCATTCTGAAAGAGCTTGTGTGCTGAGTCTGAACTCCATGCTCTTCTAACATGAAGTCCATGAGAAGTGTGGACCATCAGGCATGTGTGCATTGCCCACAGGAGGCCATTGGGTTTCTTTCATGTCAGTTTCTACCTTGGAACAGGGTTTCTTACTTCCCTTGAAGCTGGATGTTCTGGCTAGGGTGGCTGTCCAGCCAGCTCTTGGGTCCTCTATGTGTGCTTGCTCTTGTAAGTTAGTGTGTGCATGCCAGTGTGCAGCCCTCCACTGAGAACACCATCTTGTCATGAACAGGAGCAGGAAAGACTGGAGAAACTCCTGCATTATGTGAAGAAGCAGACACAGCTGGCCATCCAGGAAAGGAACTTAGCCTTAAAGATGCAGCATTAATTTGTGGACCTCCGGATGAGGTAGAAACCCAGGATGGGAGGAGAATGTGAAGCCATCTGGGTCCCCTTTTCCTGGATTCTCTGTCTTTTATGGGCTTTGGCTCACCAGCAAGCCTAAGAGCCACTCCTGGGAAAGAACACCTCAAAGTATTATACTGGTCCTGTCATCAGGAACTTCTACCAGGTAACAATATCTTTGCCACCTTATGTGTTTAGGGCATTGGAAACTCCCCTGTGCTGTTTAGTATATTCTTCGCAGACTGTGCTTAAACTTACGAGAACTGCAGACATCTGCCCCCACCAAGTGATGGGATCTCAAGGCATGCACACCACACCAGACTGAAAATGTACTTTTATTTAAGAACATCCCCTGTAATGATCAGAATCTCACCATTTCCGCACTGATCTCTGCAGTGTTAATCCATTTCTGTGAGAAAGGTTTTCTCAAGAGTATAGGTTCATCTGCATGATGAACCCATGCAGATGTCTCTGCTACAGGAATGATCAGAACCTTCATGGGAGTGTTCAGTAACTCCCATTGAGTTCCTGGATGCAGTCTGTCTGTTCTAGTTCTTAGGAAAACAGAGGTTTCAGTTGGTACCATAGCTTATGCAGGGCCATTGTTGGCAGGCACACAATTCACGAAAGGCTGCTCCAGCATGGCAGGCTCCATGATGCATGATACTTGGGTGCCAGGTGTCTCCTGAGCAGGAGGAATGAGCTAGCCTCATGACTTTGTTCAGGTGCCCAGGTTGCAAGGCTGTATTATTCCTATCTATAAAATAATGTGATCCATCAGTGAGTCATCATGAATAACTTCTATACTGATCAGATTATTAAGGTAGGTAATTTTAAATAATGATGTTCCTGGATTATAGGAGAAAGGACTAGCCTTTGTAGTAGAACACAGACCATACAGTTCCTAGATCCAATTCTGACTTGTGCTTAATAGCTGAAACATTGTGTAGGCGCTGACATTGTGTGATACTGATGTCTTGGGATTACAAAGAGTGACTTCAGTTAAGAGATCCGTGTTTACTCCAACCAAGTACCATGCATGGAGATAACCTAGAACCTCTGCACAGATGTAGCTCATGGCAGTTCAGTGTCCAAGTGGGTTCCATAGTAATGGGAACAGGGACTGTCTCTGACATGAACTGATTGGCCTGCTCTTTGATTACCTCCCCTGAGGGGGGAGCAGCCTTACCAGACCACAGAAGATAACAATGCAGCCACTCCTGATGAGATAATAGACTAGGATCAGAAGGGAGGAGAGGAAGACCTCCCCTATCAGTGGCCTTGGGGAGGGGCATGCGTGGAGAAAGGGGAGAGAAGCTGGGATTAGCAGGGGAGGAGGGACGGGTTTGTGGGGGGATACAAAGTAAATAAAGTGTAATTAATAAAAATTAAAACCAAAAAAAAGAAAAAAAAAAAAAGAGATCAGTGTTGACCCTCCAGCAGAGCTGAGATGGTGGATGATAGCAGCTTGAAGGCTGATATGGCAAGTCCCACCAGGCCTGTGTCTTAACTGCCTTCCTCTTTCAGGTCTGAAAAGCTGCACCTTGAACTGGACCTGGCCACAGCCCATAAGGAGAGCCTCCTCCAGAAGAGGCTGCTGCTTCAGGAGCCACCTGCTGAGCCCCAACCCCAGTGAACAACAGAATTCCTAGGAGGAATTGTCTTCTTCAGAATGGGGTGCCTTGCTGTGAACAGCCCCTAATCTTATTTAGCCAGTGAGGAAGCCATGCTACTTCTGAGTCTCAGTCTCTTTTCTGCTCTGACTACATCCACTGAGAAAACTGGTGTCACCCTTGCCACTAAGTGTTTAAGACCAGCCACAGGCTGTGGGTCAGTCCTGTTAAATCTGCAGTGAGAGAAGGCTGCTGAGCTTAATTTTCTGGTAGGGTTTGGGTTTTGTTTTATTTCTTTCTTCTTTCTTATTTCTGTTGTTTTTGGTTGTTTCAATTTTCTCTTTATTGGTTAAATTTTATATATACTTGTTAATGTTTTCCAAACTTTGATTGTACTACCCACTTTTTTTTTATTAACTCCCTTTTTGAAGATCGTTTTGAAAAAAAAAAGTATTTTCTTATCAATAAAAATGCAATTTCTAACTCTTCAATCTTTTAAAATATTTGTTTATCACTTTCTACCCCAATCCCAGTCCTTTTCCTCCTCTCCCCCCCTTCCCTTCTCTCATCCTCAGTGTAGGTGAGGCCCTCCCTTTCTCAGGGATTGAGAGCTGTACCCCTACCTCTCTGAGCTTCCTCTATTCAAGGGAGGCAGCTTCTCCCTCCCTGGAATGACTTCTACCCAACACTGCTCTCCTTGTCACCACCAGACAAGAGGAAAGGGACCTCAAATTTCAGTGAGATCCCATTACATCCCAGCCTCCACAGCTTCCCATCACTGACTCTCCTCAGAATCACTCTCTTACATATGTACCATTATTAATCTTTCTACTGAGCAAATGGGAAAGTTTGAGTTATGGAGGAGTCAACTCATGGGACAAAGAAGAAGATGGATTAATATTCACTCCCATGGTAGAGTGCAGCCTGGTGAACTCAAATCCCTGTGTTTAGTATTTATCACTGAGAAAAAAAATATCAAACTAACCTGAAACACACACACACACACACACACACACACACACACACACACACACACACGCACACACCCTTGTAAGCTACCATAATAGTCTATCATTCCTCTGGAAATATAACCCAAATAACTCTTTTTTTCTATATGTTGCATTGAACATGATGTATCCATCATCACAGTTATAGAACGTTACTGATACAGCAGCTATTTAGGGAAGGTAGAATGGTCATAGCTCTCCCAATTATTTGTGGAATAAGATCGAGTTCTTAAGGAATATGCCAAGGAGCTGTATAGCTTTTAGAGAATTCTCCACTATGATCTCCAGAATGGCTGCTCCAACTTGAAACCCCATAAATAGGAAAAGAAAGTTCCCCTTTCTCTGCCACATCTTTAGTTGCATTTGCTGTCATTTGTTTTCTTGATCTTAGTTTTCCTGATATGAAAAGATGAAGTCACACAATAATTATTGTTTGCATTAGGGTATTTGCTTAGGATATAGAATGCTTTTTCAGATATTTCTTAGCCATTTTAGTTTTGTCTTTTCAGAACTCTGTTCAGAGCAATATGCCAGTTAACTGAGTTCTTTGCTTTGTAGACTCTCTAATGGTTTTGTATATTCTGAGTATCACTTCTCTATCATCTGTGCAGCTGTGTGTTCATTCCATTAATTGTTTCTTTTGTTGTAAAGAATCGTTTTACTTTTGTGAGTTCCCGTTTTGGTCAAGTGTTAACTTTAATTCTTGATCAAATGGAGTTTTATTCAAAAAGTCTTTTTGTGCTTCTATATCTTTCAGGGTACTGCCCATATTTTCCTCTAGAAGTTGCAGTGTTTTAGGTTTCACACTGAGATTTTTATTTTTCACAATCATTGTGCAATATATTTTGATCATATTGTTTTCCCACCCTGATCCTTTTCACCTCTCCACCCACTGAACTTCATGGTCTTGTATTCCTTCTTTCAAAAAAGTCAGAAAAAACAACGCAAATAAAAACCCAATAAAATCAAATAATACAGTATAAACATACTAAAATCTGTACTCCTAAACAACCTAAGCAAGGAGTACCCAGAGTAAGATGATCAATTCTCACTCAGAAAGGCAAACAAACAGAATAGATATCAGAGGAGGGAGACACCAGGAAACAGGACAGGAGCCTACCACAGAGGGCCTCTGAAAGACTCTACCCAGCAGTGTATCAGGGCAGATGCTGAAGCTCATAGCCAAACTTTGGGCAGAGGGCAGGGAATCTTATGAAAGAAGGGGGAGATAGAAAGACATGGAGGGAACAGGAGCTCCACAAGGAGAGCAATAGAATCAAGAAATCT